CGTTTTTCACTACATCATGGCGTTCATAATTCTTGTCTCTATAATTTAATGGTTACACCGTGAAAAGATGAAAAACCTTACTGACGTTTCGGACGCTAGTCCTTCGTCGGAGTAAAACTTTTTACTCCGACGAAGGACTAGCGTCCGAAACGTCAGTAAGTTTTTTCATCTTTTCACGGTGTATGATTTACCTTTTCATCATTACTGTTTCATTAGAAACACCGACGCAGCTCACACTAGTTTTTAGCTAGTTATATCAATTTAATGTTTATGTTAATGTTTTTCCAGTATACAAAATGTATAATAAAGTAATTATTGAATTAATATGTAAACACAGACTCAGTCTTGTTAATTTAAGATGACATGCTCAACCTCATCCAATAATTGCTTTCTAATTAAAATATCCCAGTAAAAGTTGAAGTTATAGATAAAAATCGATTTTAAAGTCGAATTCCTGTTCTGTCAAAAAGTCTTAGCATAAGTAATCAAGTTGTGTCTGGAGTCACATGCTTTCAATTGGCACTTGCAAAGTACTCTCACGGGAATTTTTTAACTCTGTATTTATAATTTGGAATGCTTCACTTCAGACTGTAGTAAATGGAACATTTTTCTTGCAATTATTGCTTTGAATTTCATAGTTTTATGTTCACTGATATTTCGAAATCCAAATGGACACATTCTGAAAGTTTCATGAGTTAGAATTTGAAGTTGAATGACTTTAGGTCAAATAGGTATACGAAATTTCTTTAGTTAAATTATTCTTATTTTTTTCAAAACAATATAAAGTCAATGTCATTAACGTTGTCCACTGAAAAAAGACCTTTACACAGAGTAAAAGATATATCAGGTGTAGTTTTATTATGTATTCTTTGCCTCATGTGAGTCAGCCTGAACTTAAATGTAAAATTTAACTCGTGAATCGAAAATCCAGAATGCCCTGACCATTTAGTGAGGGTTTAAGATGGAGAATGGTATTTCAGCATTTGTTTTATGCCAGATCCTTCGAGGAAACATGTTATATCTCTTTTATGTCCTAAGTGTAAATGTGTAAATTATGTCTTTTTTCAGTGTACAACGTTAATGGCATTGACTGTATATTAAAAGACTGAATAAGCTTCTCTGTACTTCATGTTTATTTGTAATAGTCTTTAGAGCCAAAATAATTTAATATAACTTCAGAATTGGCTTGAAACTGCAGAAATGTAGTACAAAAATCCGGAATGAAATCAGAATGAGCCTTGTTGTTTATGTATCGAACAAAAAGGCATAATCGTTTACTTTTGAAGCGCTGTTTTCCTTCCTTAGCAATGATCTTTTACAGAGAATACTGTTTTCAGAAGTTGAAACAAATTAATGTGTAGTTCATCGACAATAAGCTGCAGGCCATTACAATTTTTATGAGGGAATAAATTAGAATTTCTAATTCGGCTCAGTCTTGAACTACAGCAGTCAGCAAAATGGAGCATGCCTAGACATTAATTCTGTCAGGTGATAAGCTAACTCCGCCCCCTCCTAATAACATTGTAAGATTGATTGACAACTGCAATATGCTAATTAATTGGAATTGGTATTGCACAATAAGTCAAGTTAAAAAAGTATTTTCCACAAAATGGATAGTTACTAAGCAGTCGTATTTAAGCATGTTTTACATTCTGCTTCTCATTTGATATCTTGCATCTCATTAGGTATCTGTAAATGTTAACTACAACCTTTCTGGAATCAAGTGTATATATATGTATACATGTATTTGTATATTATACACTTGATTGCAGAAACGTTGTAGCATGCATTTATACATATATCTAATTTATTCAGTATATTTAATGATATGCAAAACAGAAAAATCGCTTTATTTATTGTTTGTTTCATTCAATGACTGTCAAAATATCTTTTCTTGTCTATTAGGTCGTACAGATTATAAATCAGTTGGTTTTCTTGAGTTGAAAATGGTTATTTTGCATTATGCACCTCATTAGATTTTGTATAATTGTATACCACGATGTTTCTGCGGTCGAGTGTATTTATATATGTATATATGTATATATGTACGTGTACAGCGATATGCAGAAATTCTGATCCAACCAAGTATATAGTATGTAACTATATTGGGTGCATTATTGGTAATAGACCCGCAGGATTCAATGCAAAGTACCAAAGCGTTGGCTGGCCTACTGAGTGTTGTTTATGAACTGCGCTAAATTCAAGAAGCGGAAATTATGTGTTCACTTTTTAATATCTCTACACTACTAGAAGAAATGTCATATTGTAAACGGTTTTATTGATGTGAAGTGAAACAGTGGAGGTTTTGCAATTGGTTGAGTTTAAAATCTCTTCTGAAATCGCTCTTCTTGGAAGTTTTGGTTGAGTTGAGCTCATCTCTGAACTCGATCGTTCTTCGCTTATTTATATAATGCCCTTTTAAAACAATCAATCACTCTGAGGATAGCAAAGCCAAAACAGTCGGTAATACTTATGACAAAAGTGGTATAAAAATTGTCCATCAGCTACTCTGGATAAGATATTTTGCTTTATTCATAGTCTACTGTGTTATTGTTAGTGAGCATCGACTCAGTCAAATCTTAGTTGATGAACAGGCCGAATATAATATCTAGATATTAAACAGAGGTTATTCTTACTTTAGAGAGAGGCATATTCTTCCACTTCTCCTCTGATAACTTAGTGATTCTTTGTGCTTACTTTTTCTTTTATTTTTCTCGACTCTCTCTCTTTTGGCTCAAGCTATTAAAAGCTTTGCAATTTTATGCAAAACAAGTTCACTCACGAGAGTGAAAGTCTGAATATTAATCATTATAATATAGTCAAGTAAATCCGCGCGATCTGATTGGTTGAAAAGCATGAACCATTTGCCCATGGGTTGCACGCTCACGTCAGCTTTTTTTGCTTCGGCGAAAAAAAAACCTTTTTTGTATCTTTTTGCTGACAATTTATCTAGAAAAGATAACTGAAAATTATTGAAAAAACTAGCGAAAATACTCATCAGTCTCCGACATTTAGCATAGAGTTGTTATTTGATCAGCCTAGTAATAAAAAATAAAGATTTATTTTCAAACAGTGAGCTGGACAAGATTGTGTTAGAGCGTCACTCCAAAAAGACAAAGCAAACCACAAATCGGTCGGTGTCTACATTCAAAGGGTTTTTAGCAATGATTAAACAAATACAAAAATATTGTTATCGTGTATTTATTCAACAAAAGTATTTCCAAAGTAATAAATTATAAATATCACGCTCACCGTCTCCTTCGCAGCTTCACAACTGCAGTGGTAAAGTCCTTTTCTAAAGCTCTACATAGGAGTGAAAACCGACAAAGCATACTACCCAGAGAAAATTAATCCAGTTCAGTCAGTTAGTTTTGATCCGTGTACAAGAAACTTTCCATTGCTAAGTCATTGTACGATAACAAACTTGAACATCGCCAACAACAGCAAAGACAGCCACTGTGTTTTTCTTTGATTTTTTTGAGCATTACTGTACTAAGATGTGTCAACATTTGAAATGTGCTTGGCTTACAGTTGAAAATCACTCTCTCCGTAGTTTTGGACATTTTTGGTTCACTTGTAAGCTAAATTTTTGCCATTATTTTAGTCATAACAGTCTTCAGTGTAAAGCTGCCATTTTCAACTGTTTTTCTGTGGGTTTTTTTTGGCGCCATTGTGCATTTCATTCACGCAAGGATTCATGCGTAAGGAGAACTTAGGGCATGATCAACAAATTAAGTCAATATTTTGTATTCATTTCCTGTTTGTTGACTTGACTATATTATAAAAGCAATGGATCATAAGGAGCTGTGCGTCCATCGAGTTATGGATGCACTTGGGAGGTTGCTTAAGCACTCAAAAAAGCTAGAGTTGCACTCCGCTTCGCGTCGTGCAACTCTTACGCTTTTCTTCGTGCTTAGCAACCTCCCGCATGCATCCATAACTCGATGGACGCACGCTCCTTATGATCCATTCCTTAATCATTGGACGTAAGCCGTTTGTATTAATCAAAATTGCATAAAATAAACAGCGGTTTATATTGAAAATAATGCCGACTGTCGAGTCCTAGGCAAGGTGACAATTCTTTTTTGGTTGGAACAAGCGGAGTTTGTTTTGAAAAGTAACTTATCTTAAACAAAACCCCAGCCGACACTTTGGTACTTTAATCCCGCTTTGAACCCGCGAGTCTATTACTCATAATGTACCCGATATAGTTATGTACTGTTTAATAAACAAGCAGGAGTGTTTTATCAGATATAAAACACGAGGCGTAGCCGAGTGGTTTTATACCCAATGAAACACGATCTGCGAGTTTATTGAACAGCTTAAAAAACTCATGATGAATGTTATCATATTGTACTGAATTCTTTACGAAATGAACCAAGTTTGATAGAGAAAATCCAAGTTAAAGTTTATGCAAATGAAGACAAATC